TAAATATTTAAATTTTGTTACACTTTTGAAAAAATGATTATGTTGAAGGACCTCATATTAATTAGTCGCCTAGGGCCTCTAAATTCTCAGAGCCGGCCCTGAAAACACACTTATCACTCGCTGCTATGAAAATAAGGTATTTAGCAATTTTAAACTTGATTACTGCTTCTGATCTATTTTTCGGAATTGATTTGACTGGATAATCAACTTTTAGATTGTGGTCAGTTCAAAGGCTATCTACGTTACTATACATGTAGAAGTGAAGAAAACCCGATTATCTAGCTCCAGCTTGTGCTCTTATAGTTATGGCAACGATATTTGTATCGGTTTAGTGTCTCATTACTTACCAAATACCACGAACAGTTGTTATTGACATGCCATTTGACTTCAGTATTGCTTCTGACTAAAAATCCGAATCTAAAATTTGATGCACGCGCTATAGCATGTTCTAACATGGATATTTCACAGGTTCAATACCAGAAAAGGAAAAGACTTGCAGAGAAGCGTCCCCGAGTGAAAGGCCAGTTTGTTCGCCAAGGTCCAATCTGAAACCACTCCTCCAGTTGCTAATAGTTTGCATTGAGATTTCACATTGTATCTGATGCACTTCAACAATCACAATCTTGAGTAACTGTAGTGTAGGTTAATCCCGAGTTCTGTGTGCTTGTGCTGTATGCTTGATGTTCAAAGATAGGTTTTAGAGATGAGAGGAAAAATTTGCTTAACGTAGGTAATAGGGTGCTTGTGAAACTTTTTTGATTTAAGTTAGCTGAGCGCGTGTTGTAATTATTCAGATGTGTGCAGTCTTTTGATTCTGTACTCACAGTGTACATATTTCTGAAATTTAGTGAATATAGTCACTCTCTTATGGTTTGCTGATGTGAAAAGGAAAATGTCTTAGGTCTATTTTTCTTTTCTTAATTTATACTGTCATTTGAGCTTTTAGTGGGTTCCTTTTATCTTGTTTGGTTCCTTTCTTCTTCTAATCTTCCGAACTATGCTTTTTTAAAAGGCCTGAAAGTTTGTTGGGTTCGTAAGATTCCTTCTCAACTTTGTACCTTCGAATTTGTTTTGGAACATGGGCTACACAACCCCAAATGCTATACAATGTGGTTGGTTGGGAATGGTTCTCTTTGAATTCAAATTTTAACCTCGTCTCTAAGTTTTTGACCATTAAAGCACGTCAAATTGCTGATTTGGAACATGGAAAAATAAGGGTATGTTTTCTTTACCATTTTCAAGTCATTTTCTGTTTTCGATTTTTCAAAACAGTGAAAACGCGTTCTCTTTCCTATTTTCGAAAACGCGTTATTGAAAACAAGTTAAAAATTTAAAAAGAAAACTCAAAACGATAAATTTGTCGTTTTGGATGTTCTCGATTATAATCAAGTCAATTTTCAAAACACGTTTTTGGGTGTTTTCAAAATAATTTTTCAAAATGTCAAAAAGAACACATTTTTAACAATCTCAAAATGAACACTCAAAACCCAAAATCCAAAATGAATTCAAAACTCAAAAAAAAAAAAAAAACTGAAATACGAAGAGAACGGTCCCTTAGCTTTTTATGATGAATGGAGAAAATAATGTATT